TTTTTTTTCCCAAGGACTAGGCAGAATCTTCATCTTTCCATTCCTGATATCAATTCTGGCAGCCCGTTGACTTTTTAAAGTCTCTGATGAAGTTTTACATTTTAGAAAGGCTGGAGAGCATGTCTCAGGTTAGGACTTTCTGGCTTGTTCCCTGATTTCTCATGTCCACAACCAGCAGCTGTTATTTGGAGAACATTTTCAAGCTTTTGGAGTCTTTCCAGTGGGCAGTTTAAAAGGAAACTGGCCACTCTGCCTGGTGCTTCACCTGTGGGCATCCTCTGGTTTCAATGTTCAGATATCAGGAAAATTAAGGTTGCTTGTGTCTGAGATGTGTAAACACCAGATTTCCTCCTATTTTGATGCTCCTTGCTGTATAATTTTGATGCTCCTTGCTGTATAATTTTGATGCTCCTTGCTGTATAATTTTGATGCCAGCTTTTTTTACCCAGTGCATATGACCCAGACATGGGAGTTGTAAACCACCAGTCCCAACATGACATTTGTAATGAGCACATGAACTGTAACTCACTGTTTTCCCTGGAGCAGAGCATCTGTGGTCCAGGAGCAGGCTCTGCCTCTGGGCACCTCCTGACCTCTCTGCCAGGGGCTGTGAGGGCACCTCCAGAAGCAGAAACTCGGGCTAAAATTACTCCTGAGGAGCAATTTAGTGATGCATAGCCCAATTCTTTCCAAGCTGCAACTGCAGCTCTCCTCTGAGTGCCTCGTGTGCTGGGGAGGGGGCTGAGTCGCTCAGGTCTGTGGTGGTGGTGACTCCTCCCTCTCCTGTGGCATTCCTCCAGGAGGCAGGAGGTGCTCGTCCAGCCCCTGCCAGCACAACGGGGTGTGTGAGGACAACATTCGTGGCTACACCTGCACCTGTACCGAGGGCTACGAGGGAGAGAACTGTGCTTTTGGTAAGGCACCACCCCCTTCTGGCAACCCCCGGCTCCTCCTATGTCCTGGGAGACCATACACAGCTCTCCCCTTACAGCCAGATCTTGTATTTGAGGTTAAAACTCACAGTTCTTGGCAGAGCAGAGGTGATGTTTGCTGCCCACCGACCAAAACATTACAACAGGCTGCCCCTTCTCCCTGAGCATCCCTCCTCGGGGGAGCAGCAGAAGGGCTGAGCAAGACTTCCTCAGGGGTGGGCTCCAAAGGCAGCCCTGCCACTGCCACCAGTGCCCCCCTGCTGCTCGTCCTGCCACCCTCCCAGGCAGTGTGTGCCCTGAAAAAACAGGGCTGTGCTACCAGGGTGGCTGCCCCCGTGTTTTTTCGCCCCCCCCCCCCCAAATTCAGTCCCTCGGGACAGAGGACTCCAGGAAACAAACTGTTTTCAGTGTAAAAGGCATAAAGCAAAGCAGACAGCTTTAGCCACCTTCTCTAAGCAATGCCTCCCACCTCAACACGTGCAACAGAACCCCCACTGCAGGCACTTGGTGTTTTAAGACAGCAGCAAGTAAACCACTGGCATCCTTCCACAGGTTCCCATAGAATCATAGAATCCTGTAGGTTGGAAGGGACCTCCAAGATCATCAAGTCCAACCATTGAGCCATTAGGGCTCTAAAGTCCTCTGCTAAAACAGATCAGAATCTGTCAGGGTTGGAAGGGACCACAAGGATCCCCCAGTTCCAACCCCTCTGCCATGAGCAGGGACACCTCCCACTAGATCAGGCTGCCCAGAGCCTCCTCCAGCCTGGCCTTAAAGACCCCCAGGGATAGGGCCTAACCCCCCTCCCTGGGCAACCCATGGAAGGTCCAGTTTATTTGGCTCCCCAGAACTCACAGCTGCAAGGGGGGTGCTGGGGAACCACGAGTTTGTGGACACTGCAGAGACTCAGTTGTCTCCAATTTCTGCTTAACAAGGGGAAAAACAATGTGGTGGGAAACACTACCAAGCCAGAGTGCCTACCAACCTCCACACAAAGTAACAAAATGCTTAGCAAAGAGGACTCAAGTCATGCAAGAACACTCTAGCTGAACTGCTCCCCATGCTTTCCATCTGCTTGTCCTCTGCAGCCAAAAATGAATGTCACCACCACGCCAAGGAAGGATGTCACCACTTCTGCTACCCTGGAAGCAACTCCTACCATTGCTCCTGTGCTGATGGCTATGAGCTTGGGAAGGACAAAAAACAGTGCATTGCATTAGGTAGGTGTGAGCATGGAAACATGGGGGGCACGTCCTCAGTGCCACCATCTGACAGCCAGATGCAACCAGCCTGCTTGGAGAATCAAGTTACTGACCCTCCACACTGTGCAGGAAAAGGGGGAATCCAGGCACCACCCCCCAGGATGCCAGAGCAGGGGTGAAAGAAGCTGTGTTTGAACTGAATATTTAAACCTGGGTCAGCAGAGAGGATTTGCCTCATCCTACATACCCCTCACAGGGCCATGTTTGCCCCTGCTGTGCTTGGAGAAGAGTAATCCCACTGGAGACCTGTCTGGGGATGAGGTTCAGTTGATGCCCATCAGGCAGCTGATGGTCTCCTAAATAAAGGGCAACATTAGCTTCCCTAGGAATGAGTTTGAAGCAGTAGAGATCTTCATTTTTTTCATCTCACTCAATCCCATCCCCTTATAAACTCAGGCCCTTGGAGGGCAGCCAAAGAGGAGCTGAGCTGCAAAGCTTTTGGTGCTGAGGGCTTGATGTCCACACTCTGTGCACATTTCAGGTGGGCTTTCCATCAGACCAGCTCTGGTTATGTGGACTAAGCTATGAGAGTACTTCACATGTGCTCCTGGAAGATGTCTTCTGGTTTAGCTTCACCTGAACAGAACCCAGTTAGTGTGACCCAAGATTAAGATATTAGGCTACAGATGGCAAGTAAATTATTCCAGTTTTCATCAGCTGAGAAATTGTCCTTTTCCTTGGTGCAAAAACAAACCCCCAAAGTCAGGTGGAAACAGGAAGGTATTTGCAGGTGTGATTTGTCTCGGAATGATGCAGCATGAGGGGTTTTGACTTGTTAAAAATTCATTTGCCAGATGAATGTGCATGTGGCAGACTTCAAGACAGTGCTAATCTGATAACTGAAACCAGGAAGAAACGTGATGAGCCATTTCCTTGGCAGGTATTTCTAGCAATCCATGAAACCCACCACTCCACCTCACGTGGACAGTGCTATCTATTGTCTTTTTGGTTTTTTTGCATTTTTCTCAGGTCCTGCTGCTGAACTCAGAAGGGAAAGGGTTCTGTGGAGGAGTGCTGCTCAAAAGTAACTTTGTACTGACCACAGCAGAGTGTGCCCTTCTGCACAGCCAGCTCCAGATCAGGGTTGGCACGGGTAGGTAATCAACTATTTTCTCTTGTTCCAGCACATTTTAGTCTTGACAAGCTTAATTTTAAAAAAGCTTAGTAAAATTTTTTCAGCCTGAAAACATTCCTGAAGGAAACAAACCTGCTGTCATGTCATATAAGCATCTCAGCTAAGGATCTTGAGCCAGGAGTTGCCCCACACAAGCCAAGCAGAGAGACAACTGCCTCTCAAATTCAACTCAGCCCTGGGATAAGCTAAACCCAGTGGATTTAGAGGTGGCTTTTTTTTTTTCCTACCAAAAATCACATCTCTTGTTTCTTTCCCTCTGAAATGATGGATGGTTTACACAGCACTAAAAAGCTGTCAGCACATCATTCCTGGTTCACCTCTACTACAGCAGCTTCAGGAGGGTCTGTAGTTTATCTGCTGCCTGTATCCTCAGCACAGCCAGGGAGCTGTCAGGCTGCATGCAGTCCTTGGGTCTCTGATGAATCACTCCTCAAGAGCAGTGAAATGTGATTGCTCCACAGGGCCCAATGGCACAAGTGGGGCTGAGAGGACCCTGCAGGTGAGTGAGAGGCACGTCCACATGCACTATGAGGAGGACTCTGGGGAGAACAACATTGCCCTGCTCCAGCTCCAGGAGCACGTGGAGTGCAGCCACCACCAGCTGCCCGTGTGTGCCCCTGAAAGAGACTTTGCAGAACACGTCCTGATCCCCAAGGTGGCTGGTACAGTGGGTGGCTGGAGGATGGAAGGGGATGAACTGCAAGGGGAGGAGCTGCATTTTTTTGCTGAGGACTGCAAACAAATGCTCAACATCAGCCTCACCAACAGGCAGTTTTGTGGCCACCTCCAGGAGGCCACGGACAAACGACTGGCTGGAGGCAGCTTTTTAGCTACAGAGTATAAAGGCACTTGGTTCCTGACTGGGATCCTGGGATCCTGGCCACGAGAAGACAGCAACTGGAAGGCACTTCTGTTCACTAACACTGCCAGGTACATGATATGGTTGAAACAAAAAATGAGATGAGACTCAAGCACAACCAACCCTCCAGCACCAAACTGCTACCAGTCACTGCAAGGAAAGATTTGGGTGCAGCCAGTACATCCATTTGACTCTCCATCAAAATTTGCATCAGTGGAAGTTGTAAAGACAATATGTGTGGAACTCCAGTTCAGAGAGGAAGGCCCCCTTGGCTCTCCTTCTGCTGATGATGTGGCACTGTGAAAGTCATGATGTGGTAAAGTTATTTTACTCAAAACTGACTGAAGGACTAAGGTGGATGGGGCTTTTGAGCAACCTGGTCTGGTGGGAGGTGCCCCTGCCTATGGCAGGGGGGTTGGAACTAGATTTTTAATGTGCCTTCCAAGCCAAACCATTCTATGATTCTGTGAACTCCAAGCCTTTAAATGCCCATGTTAAAGTAGGACTTTACACTCTCATCATACTAAAAAATGCTTCCTCTCAAACATGGTAGCTGTGTTTTCCCTTATGGCTCATGTCCACATCAGCTCGTGGATAAAATAAAGCCCAATTCTCAAAGAGGGGGGAAAAAAAACCATTTTATTTCCTTTAAAAATAATTTAAACCCCCTCAAACTGCCCTCCCATCACTATGGACAAAGTTACATTGTACCACCCCCAAACCAACCAACCAAACCCCTGAGGTAGTAACACTTAAACTAATGGATCCAGTGGCAGTGTTTTCCCCAGAAGCAGAATAAAACAGAGTATGGATAACTTACTTAGATAAACTTTTGTTCAACACAACAAAAATGAAATAAAAAAAAAGCCCAAAGCCAACTGTGGGCACCTACAGACAAAACTCCCATGTTTACTTGAACTCTCTGACACAGTAAAGCTTTTGGTGTCAAGCACCTCTCTAATTTTTAGAGAAAGCTTGAAAAGAGTGCTTAGTATCAGCAAGGTTATTGAAGAGATTTGGGGGGGGAAAAAAAAGGAAACCATGAAAGAAAATATAATTTCCATTCCAAAGAATGGATTAGCACAAGTAACAAAGGATGATGCTTCTCCTCTCTGGAAAATAACTGCAGAAATAGCAATGCAAAATACTTTATGAAAGCTTTTAAGTCGTTTGGAAGGAATTTGGAATGCTTTGCTTTATTTCCTCATTAAATACTTTGAATGTTCTAGAAAGCCCGTGGAAATTCTCACTGAGAAGTCAGCATTTCATTCCAACAGACTCTGCAACACTGGAAGCCTTGGTCATTCTGGGAAAAGAGCCACAAACAGTTCCTGGTATTGCAGTCCTGGACATGAACCAACTCACTTGCAGTGTTCTCAGGGTGGTTAGAAGCAGCTCCCCCAGGCAAGCTGAGTATCTCTGAGAAGTACTTGCATGGATAAGGTGCAACACTCAACACACTGTTGACAGGGGAGGAAATGGGTTCTGCTTGCTGACCACAAGCTTTTGATGCTGATGAGATATATAGCCTTTAATGTGACCCTGGCAGGAGGAGAAAAAGGCAGCATTAGTACTGGGAGCTGGTCACACAATGCCTACAGCCTCAGCTGTCTTCAGGCTACCTCACACAAAGCTATGTGTGTGTGCTCAGTCACTCCTGTACCTATCTGTAAGGATCTGATCTATGGAATGGGGTCAACTCACAGAGTAAGCAGAAAAGTTGGAACCACAGCCCTGTTTGTGGACCAAGAGCCCTGTCACACAGAGAGCCCACTGCCTGCTACTGGCCCCTGCTGGCCTGCTTACATGGCCTTGAAGACAGAGCTCTGCCAAAGCATTCCTAAACTTACTCTTGCTCACTTCAAAATGAGAATTTTCATAATCACTGCTCCATACCTAATTAGTTGACATAATACTTCCTTGTCAGAAATCTTCCAGTGGCTTAATCCCATCCCCTGTTACTCCTAGACTGCAACAAGTAATATCTCAGGAATAGAGACTTGGTGCCTTTTCTCACCATCACTGCACTGCTGCTCCACATGCTCTGATTTATTAGAAATCTCTAGATTTCACTGATATGTGTTTATGTAATAAACTTTTATTTCTATCTACTATATTTTAGTGTCTGAAGGACCAGACAACAAATGGTCAGCACATACCATATATATAAGGTTAGCTAAAATGCACTGGACTTCATCAATATCAACATCATCTACTTGCATGAATTTCAGGGCAAACAGAAAGGCATCTAGAGAGAGCTGGTGGGTTTTGAGTAGTAAATATCTGAAAGAAAAAAACATATTTCTATCTACTATATTTTAGTGTCTGAAGGACCAGACAACAAATGGTCAGCACATACCATATATATAAGGTTAGCTAAAATGCACTGGACTTCATCAATATCAACATCATCTACTTGCATGAATTTCAGGGCAAACAGAAAGGCATCTAGAGAGAGCTGGTGGGTTTTGAGTAGTAAATATCTGAAAGAAAAAAACAGGGGAAAAAAAATCTGTTATTGAGAACAGTCACTTAAAAATTCTGGTTCTTAGAAAAATGGCTTTTTGACAATAAATCCTATTCAGCTCTCTCAGAGAGAATTAAGGAGCATATACATTTTTATCTCTGTCCCAGGGGAAAACAAATCTGCTTTGGCAAAAAGGCAGGTTTTGTCATGCTTACACTTTCTTAAAGAGATTTCTGTAGGTGATGATTTTCAGCTTCTCAAGGATGAGGAAGATTCCACACCGAATGAAGAAGGTCTCATGCTTTGTCAGAGCCTCATTCAGCAGCAGAAGGTTCCCTTCACTACAGGGGCAAAGAAATGAAAACATGAGGTGGCCTCACCCAAATGAGAAAAGAAAATGTCTAACTTGGTAGAAATATCCCTCCCCTGCCTTCCCTCAATCATCCCAGATCAATATTTTCTACTTAATACTTTTTGAACTGGCACACAGTGCAATAAAACCCTCACCATACCTCACAGCCTTTGTGACTTCAGCAAACTGCATCAGGTCATACTTTTTTAAGAGCTGAATTGTTGGCATGTGGCCCTGAAAGACAAACAAGTTTCCAAGTTTTCCAGGGTAAAGTCAGATGCATTTTAAGGGTGATGTAGTAAGCTATAAAAACACTTGTTAAGGAAAAAGACAAATGTTTAACCACCTTTTTTTTTTTCCCCTTACAGAATAAGAGGTGAATAAAAGTATTTTTAAGACAACCCCTTTGCCCAGCCAAACACCTTGAAGCTCAAGTCATGATAACTACCTGTTTATCACAGTCTGTTAATGTTGGAGGATAGTTATCCAATTTGTAAACTCAAGAGCCCATGAGGTGTGAACAGATCCAAATTTTAGGTCATGGCTGTGTGATCTAACTGCAAACAGAACTGTGGGGATCCCAGGCATCACTAATAACACAAGCAGTGCTTCAGCACTGTCAAATGCTACCTCAGGCTGTACCTGACTTTTTTCTTCACTATGCCTCATGTATAAATACATAAAAATAAAATATATTCCCTCAAAAAAACCCAACAAAAAAGTTTAAAGAAACAAAATTCATCCCTACTGCTAAATCAGGTAAGACTGAACCACCCATGCTATCAAACAGAAATGTTGTTTTTCTCCCCCAGCAGAGCAGAGATCAGATTGCACAGTGACTTGGGTCAGACTTTAAATTTAGTCACCATCATGCTGTGCTGTTGGTGACTCCTTTCCTGGCTAGAGGATTAGCTGAAAGTAGAACTCATGTTTACAGAGAGCTGCTAGGAATGAAAAAAACCCCAAACATCCAAGCTATTTCAGTAGAGTTTAAAGTTAGTGTTAATGTTTGGGCTCTGATTTTAAAAAGCAACTATAAAAACAATGACCTTTATCTAGTTTCTGTAGTGCCTCTTGCACACCAGAACTGCTCCAGAAAAGCCACAGTAATTCTAGGCACTAACCAACCCACTGGTTTAAGACACCCAGTCAGGACTAGCACAAAGTTTTCAGGAAAACTTAGTTTTCCTTTATGAATCCTACCATTTAATGATCTGAAAACAACCAGTAAGAAAGCCAGTAAATAAAAAATGAAAATTATAAGCCAATTATCATGCCCACCCTGCTTCCTCTTTACCCACTTGCCACTACAAGGGACTGGACATGCTGGGGCAAAGGTGGAAGATGGTCACTCACAGAAGCAGGTGATAACAGTATTTCACATTGGTAACTTTGGTAATAATGGCAGGGACAGAGAACTCTAAACACCTAGGACTTGTCTTCTCAGCTATACTGAATTAATTGTTAGCACAATCCCACTAACTGAGGGATACACAAACACCAGCACAAGGGAAAGGACAGGATCAAGAAGCAGACATGCCCTTAATTCTTTTAACAGAAAGAAGAAATGATCAAATAGCAAGTCTTAATTAATTTGTTCAGAACCAAAATGCTCTCCTTCATGACCCTCCTGACATGCCTTGAATGCACCAAGGTGCAAATGGAAATCCCTAACTTGGGAATCCTTTCTCTCCTGTGGCAAACCCTCCTCAACACTTTTCAGCCATCTCTTCGGGGGGGTCAGGCACAGACAGCAGCCTCTGAGTTCCAACAGGGGAGAAACAAGGACAATACTGAGCCTCAGTTTGGTCATCTGCTCCCAAAAAATTATTTAGAAGAGTAACATCTACTCACCAACAACATTTTTACTGGCAGCAGGTAGATCAAAATCATTCTTTTGTTCTTCTGGCTTGAGCGGTGGCAGTGCTCAAAGGCAAAGGACAGATACTCCTCAGCTGCAGACACAAATGAAAGTGCCAGTAACATGAGTCAACAACAAAAATGGATTAAAACCATAACCCAAATTCTGTGGTAGAGATGTCCATCTCTAGCTTGAACACATGATGATTTAAATTATATTTTAAAAAATATCTCCAATCAAAGTGCATGGAGAAAAACGCTGGAAGAATTATTGGAGATTCACACAAAACTACAACATATTGCCAGAAAAAAAGTCCTCCTCCAAAAAGCCAAAGAAAACCTGCCAAGGTCTAGATGTGAGAGGTAACAGTTCCAAGCAATACTGAAATTTTCAGCTCATTTCAGTATTATTATTGTGCTGCTATT